GGCGGCGGCGGCAGCGCGGAAGGGAGGCAGCATTCGCTCCATAAGACGCACAGACATTTTCCCCCATCTTTTGGGGGTGAAAAAGTGCGTCTTATAGAGCGAAAAATACGGTATATATATAACTGTTATTGATAAGCTTATGTCTGCTGCTGATTCTTCTGTCTGCTTTTTTTTCCCTTATTCAATATATGGAAACATATCTTCATACATCTGAAGTAATGCATTTTGTGCATATCTATTCATCTTATTTAAACAAAATATCAATGTTGCTACGCTAAAAGGAACTAAATTATTCCCTTCTGTAGTTAGCAGTGAGCTACAACAGTCCTTGATAAATTGAAACAAAAAATATTTAATTGTCAGTGCAACTAAAATTTTTACTTGTTTATAATTTGTTCTCTGTAAAAGGTGTAAAGAATTTGAATAATATTTTTCTTTTAGATTATGGTACTTGATCTGAAAACGTAATGATATTGCTCCATGCTAGGGTTATTTATAGTCCAATTAAAGTCCCAAATCTTGATCAGCAGACAATTTGGACAGTAAATCTCTGTGTGTCAAATCACTTTTTCTATAGGGTTCAGATCTTCACCTCTCTGAGTAGGAAAGTATGAAAATTACCAATATTGATAATCATGCCACAAATGTTGTGTGTATGGGGTGGGTAGGAATCTCATTGAAGATGATGTCTCCTTTTTAAATCCAAAATCTAAAGGGGGGGTTTACCAAATCAGCTACTTGGAAAATTATATTGCTACCTTTCTATCCCTATCACTTATCCTTGTCATTTTAAAATTACGACTTTAGCAGATATCAGCTGACAGAAGTGTGCAAGGAAAATTTTGTTGAAACATTTACTTGTTTATACTAAAATATAAAAATTTGAAAGCCAGTGTAGAGGGAACAAAATATTTTCTGAATCCTAGCCAAAATTGTTATTGATGATATTGTTATTTTCGGAAACATACTGTCACTGTAAAGGCTTGATGTGTTCTACAGTTGCAAGTCATTCCAAATATTTAATGAAAAGACAACTAACAAATATAAAAGATAATTTTGTGTTATAAAATATTACTGAAAATGATTTATTAAAATGCCGATATATGCTTTTCTAATGTATTTTATTATACAAAGTCAATTCTAATATGTTTTTAATTTAGCAAGGTGAAGTGAGGTTGAAATGTCTGAAAGCTTTGCAGAGTTTGTATACCAACAGAGAATTGTTCCCCAAATTGGAGCTATTTACAAATAGATTTAAGGTAAGGGAAAGAGTTATAAAACGCTAAAAAGTTAACTTAAATATAAGTGATAATTCTGGTGGCTGAAAAGAACATTTTATGGCAGTTAATCTTTTAAAAGTTAAGCATGTTTTGTGACAAATATGTGGTATAATGTGCTATGCTGCAAATGTGGAATATGTTTTCTTTGAGAAAATTTCTTTGATACATTGATACATTTCTAAAGCTTATGAATTACATAAGTAATAATCAGTGATGGAATGTATACATTTGAATTGCTGTGTCTAACGACATAAACTAAACTCTGTCTGGCTTTGCTGGGAGTATCCTGCAAAAGTCTGAAAAATTAATCAGTAGTTGTATAGAACACGTGATAAGTTGAAGTTGTGCTTTCTTTAAATATTTTTGGCGTGCTGGGTTTTTGGTCAGTCATTCCCTTTCCTTTGTTTCTTTGTTTTTGTCATTTCCTCAAACAAGAAACCATCTACAGCATGTGAAGCTACCTTCAGGACACTTTACCTTTTCACCTATAATCTTAGCCCAACATTTTTTTTATTACCACATTCTCAAAATTGAACTGTAATGTTCCTACCGGTAGCTGCCTGCCTGATTCTATTATTTGAACTTGCAGAGACAGCCTCTTCATAAGTAATTTTATGGATTAATCCTATGTAAACATTTGTATTTGTTTTCCACTGATTTGTGGATTTCTGTCCACTATAATGATTCAGGACCATGAGAATTTATAAACTCATACTTGCATTGAGTATGTGAAAACCATTATTCCATAGAGAAGAGGTTAATTTATTAAGTTTTGGAAGAGTCCTAGTACAACCTAACATTTCCATAGTAGGGCTAAATTAGCATTACTGTAGACATATTCCACACACTATAATTTGTTTCAGATGTAGTTTAAACCCCACTTACATTTTTCCAACTTCTTTTTTTTTTAAACTATATTGCCTGATTTAAAAAAAATCTTGGCAACTTGAAAGCCTGTAGAAAAGTTTGTAAACTTGTGCTGCCCTAATAAAAGTATAGTCTTTTTTTGTAGCTAATATGCCACATGCACATGCGAATATAAATATATATACACAGAATACATCTATATCTACTTATACTCCCTTGATAATGCTTTTCTGTATTAATTCTGAACAGAAAATAGTTATTACATGTCTTATAACCCTGAATAGTTTATGAGTTCTTTAATGTAGTTTGTGTAATTTCATTTGAAATAAAAACAGCTTAATATTGATTTAAGTAAGATGGATATGCGTCATGTGACACAACCTATGATTCTGTATAGAAATATAAAAAAAACATTTGGGTGGAGTTGCGTTATCCCAAATTATGGAATTCCATAATTATAGAAATAATATTTTTCTTGCTTCCCAAAAGGGCTTGGTTGGTTCATTAGTTATATTCCAAATTAGATTGCACTTCTGTCCTAACCTTTTTATATCTAAAGTACTGTGGCATAAAGCAAATGGCTACCTTGTTCAAAAGCACAGCTCATTACTTTTAAAGAACTTTTAAAGACTATGTTAATTTAAATTTCTGTTTCACTATAACTAAAATTGTTCAGCTCAAAGAGATCCTGTTCATATATTTAGCAAGGAAATCTGTGAAATGTCCAATTTTAAGGGGGAGAGCAATAGCTAAAAAAACATGTTATTTGTTTAAATTGACTTAAAAGACATAGAAATTCTAATTAACTTTCAATTAATGTGAGATTATATTCTAAATTTACATAGAGCAATCTTAATTGCTCACTTTATTTGTATTAAATATTTTAATGCTAAATTTATAATGCATATGTTATATTTTAAGACATTTTGGTTTTTTAAAAGTGATATAAAATTATTAGTACTACAATATGTATCTTACATCCCCAGCTGAGAGGGACACTGAACGTAGTTGACAACAGCAGTATATATAAGAATTAATTAAAAATGAACACAATAAAAGTAGGGATCTGAAATCTAGGAAAATACAATTTTGAGTTAAGGAGACATTGACAACGTGCGATAAGGGTGTTTTGTAGCATACATTGGTGCATTTATATATTTTTCTGGGATTGGGTGGCAATTATGTAAATCCAGGAAACAATGAAGTATGCCCACAAGTCAGCCAGATACATACTTAGAATAGCCCCTAAGCATTTTTTCACGCTTCGAGCTAAAGGACAATACATCTGCAAATTAAAACCTAATGTAATGTAATTTAAAAAAATCTGTATTAATTTAATTATTAAAATTAAAAGACGACTTAACAACAGGGACTTAACAATATTTCTAACACATATCTGTAGAGAAAATATATTCCATGGGATTATTAGACAAGAGGCTCTTCGCCATTTCCTAAAATTATTATGTAAAATCTACACAGGAAGTTTATAAGATATATTGTAAGATATTTATTTTTAAATAATCTCATACTGAATACTTAGTAACATACACCTTTGGTTATGTGGACATCACCTATGATGTTTCTCTAATTTAATTTCTTGTGCCGTATATAAGGGATTTTTTAGCATTACTTTATGTAATACATTATATAGGAATATTTCATGCATTGTTTATTAAACTGGGTTGTTTATTAAATGTGCTTGTTATGATTTCAGTTTCTTCTGGAAACATGTTACATTCTTATCATTTCAGGATCGCATTGTATCAATGACACTTGATAAAGAATATGATGTTGCTGTAGAAGCCATTCGATTAGTCACACTTATACTTCAGTAAGTATGTTTATATATGTGTGTGTGTGCGTGTGTGTGTATATATGTGTGTATATATATATATATATTTATGACAGGGGGCCCCCTGACAGACGCCCAGACCCGCTTGACAAACCGACTCTTGGACGCTCGCACACACGCAGGAGCGGTAGGACTGGGGAGCAAGAGAACCGTGCCGAGCATGCATTTCGCCGGCAGCCCCACTGGGGAAGAACAGATATGCCTTGGGATGGAGGTGGGGGGGAGGAACAAGCGAGAGCGGCCCAAACAACTTGACAGCTGGACGTGCATGGGGAAAATGACTGGGGGGAGGAAAGGGGAAAAGGGAAAAGCAGCCCTGGAAACCACCAGCGCGGTAGCAAACGCGAGCCCTTTAAGAACAAAACAAGTGGAGACAATGAGTGGACCAATGACCAGGTCAAAAAGCTGGGCGCAGAGCTGACCGGTAATATAAGAGAACTCCCAGAAACCTTGTTTTATGCTCTGATGATGTTGGCAGTGTTGGCTGACGAAAGCTTAGTATTTGTATTAAAGAGTCTTTTGGTTTAATGTTATCCTGGTGCTCAAACTCATTTGCTTTTATTACATTTGTTATTATTAATTAATATATGTATGTATGTATGTATGTATGTATGTATGTATATTTATATGTAGTAGTGAATACATCAGAAAAGTGAAGAACATCTCAAAGTCTGAACTCAATGATAGAAATACCATCAAGGCGATCAACACCTGAGCAATTCCAATCATTATACATCTGGAATAGTGGACTGGACTCAAGCAGAACTAAAAGTCCTGGATAGGAAGACCAGAAAAATAATAACAATGAATCGTGCCCTTTGTCCTTGCAGCAATATTGACAGACTCTACTTGCCAAGGAAAATAGATGAACATGAAATGTTCCAAGAACACCAGACAGTTGAAGAATAAAGGGCATTGGAAGAATATATGAAAGATACAGTAAAGAAGATGTATTGAAGCTAGTATATGATGAAGGCTTACTGAATATCAGAGAGACCAAATTAGCTGACAAAAAAAGACCAAATGAAGACTAGAAAAGAATGGAAATGCCTCCTCTGCAACGAAACTAAATAAACAGTGGACCACCTACTTAGCTGCTGCAAGAAGATCACATAGACTGAATATAAACAACAGTATGACAAAGTAGCAACAGTGGTGCATTGGATATCTGTAAGAAAAACCACTGGCCTCAAGCAAAAACTGGGACTACAAAATAGAGTAATAGAAAATGAAGATACTATAGTGCTCTGGGATGTTTGAATAGAACAGAATAGATAGGCATCTGATACATAACACACTAAACTTAACAATTATTGATAAGAAAGGCAAAAAGTCTGGATAGTAGACATGGCAGTACCTGAAGATCTCAGAATAGAAGAGAAAGAACTGGAGAAGACAACAGAATGCAAAGACCAGCAAATAGAAATAGAATGACTGTAGCAAAAGAAAGCAAATGTAGTACCAATAATAATAGGCATCTTCAGTGCAATCCCAAAACAACTGGAGCACCACTTGAACACCATTGACACTGACAAAGTCACTATCAATCAATTGTAAAAGGCAGCTTTACTTGGTACAGCTTATATCCTGAAACAGTACCTTTAATATTAAACAACAAGATCTGCTTATCCCAGTTCTTTGAGGAGGACTCGATAGATGGTTAAAAATGCCAAATCCAGTCTATAAATATCTGGGTATTGTATCCAACCATAATAATAAAACTTGTACGCTAACCAACTCTCATTGACTCACAGCAATCAAAGAAGTACAGTTCCATTAAGAATAAAACAAATGGTAAAGAAAAAAAGATAAAATATGGCCAAGTGTGACATACAGATGGAATTGAGGGAGGGGTCTCACTCTCTCACTTAAAAGCCTGGTCTGTTCTTCAATTTTGAAAGATCAGGAGCTTGATTATTCACTTTACCATGATATAGATTGAACCATATTGCCACCAAGATGCATCCTTGCCTGACATCTGTTGTAATTTCTATCTAAAGATAAAGTCAAAAGCAAATCTGAAATCAATAAAAGCTGCAGGCCTAAAAATATATTTACTAGAGGCTAGAAAATAAGAATATTATCTAAGACTGAGCACTAGACCCTGCTTGCTTATTTTCTGATTCAACCCATTCTGAGAGTTTATTATAAAAATGCTTAGCAGGCAATTTGCTTATTATGCTAAGGAAGCTATTTAGCTACCTTTTTTAAACATTGGAACTCTCCTTTGGAATCAGTGCCTTACTGTCTGTAAATATAAGCAGGGAGGTAGGACAAAGATCCATCAATCTAGGTTACCCCAAATAACTTCAACATTGATAAAGTAATTGCCTTGAGCTTTGCCATGCCTGAGTTGTTTAACAATGTATTTTTAAGTTGGTTGCAAGATCCACTGTGAAAACAATCTCATATTAAACTCTAGGTTGAGCTTATTTAGATCTTCCTGCAAATATAATGCCCTAAAATTATCCTTCCACACTGAAGCTGTTGTAAAAAAAAGAAGAGAAAGGAAGGCTGGTGGGGTAGAGGGGACAGAGGAGGTGTGCTTTCAGATGTGAAAACAACCCTTATACCAAGAAGGCAAAATTAGGTGATACCTGAAGATATTGACCTGATATTTTTTAAAGCAGTGACTAATTCCTTCCTAGCCTCATCATTCATAATCAAACCAAGGTTGGGCAAAGCCCCTAGTATTTAGGTTTTACACTCATTTAGTTGAGTAGTACTGACTGGAAAAGCTAAATCAATTTATAGTACTTATCTACAGACCACCCTACAATTATGGTTAAATCAAATTTGGGAGGCTGCCCCAGACATAAATGTTTTAGTATCTCTGCTGTACCATCAGCTTTTTAAAAAATCATACTTCAGAAAAAGGTGTTAAGATAAAATTAGTTTTTCATTAGTTTTCAAAATTATTCACTATATCTTCAGTTCATACATTTTTTTTCCCTTGCTGAGGCTTGACATTAGAGTAATATGCCCCAGGTTCCATCTGAACATTGTTCATTCATGGATGTTCATCACTAGACAGGTTTAAGGCATGTTTTATACTGGTAACACATATCACAGATACATATTTTATATGCTCTTAGTTTAAAACTAAAATGAAATGTTAGTTACAGCATATATTTTGATATCATTTAAGATTTTACTCTCTTGTCAGACAGATTTATTTTCTGAATTCATTGGAGACTTCCAATTAGCTTGCATATAATATGGCATACAGAATGTTCTCTTCATAGAACAATATTTGTTTAGGAAAGCAAACACGAGTTTATTTTATAAAAATATACTCTGGCGTACTCTGAATCTAGACAATGCTTAAACAGAGCTCAGTTCATAGAAATGATGTGCCCTAATGCTTGCTTCAGAGAAGAACAATTTTAGATAGACATGCTTCTTATAACAGCCCTAAAAATCTCTCGCAAACTAAGTAATATGGGAAATAGTTTGAAGGACTGTGGAAGTAGTAGAAAATTGATGAAAATCAGCTCTCTTTTTTTCCAGTAATGACAAACTGCACAGACTTCAATGTTCTTTCATTAAGAGAAGAGCATCTTAGATGACCATTTTAGACTCATGAGTATCTTTGATTGTATATTTGGATTTACATAGGCATAACTAAAGTATTATGGTCTCATTTATAATAATGTTTGCTTGGAATATGCTTTTAGTATCATATGCATGGCGTATTTCAATGCCTGCTATCCATATAAAAACCTGGACTAAAGTCAATGAATTTTTCGTTAGGCCTACTTTAATTTTGTAGATTCTATTTATTCTAAGGGTAACAAAGATGGTAACATTGAGTACTTGAACTTAATGTGTTATTTCTTCATTCAGTGGAAGTGAAGAAGCTTTGTCCAATGAAGACTGTGAGAATGTTTATCATTTGGTATATTCGGCTCATCGACCTGTTGCTGTAGCAGCAGGGGAATTCCTTCACAAAAAGTAAGCCTGTATTCACTGTCTGGATGTTAATGTTTCAGTGGCTAATCATTGTTTAAAGCTGTTTGTTTTCAGGTTAGTTTTTGTTTGACATGTCACCTTAGAGATGTAATATATATTGAGATGTTGCCTCATACTAAATATCAAATTTGAGTGAGACCCTTTATGTGCACAGTTGAAATCCCTTGACTCATTAACAGTCCCAGGGATAGCCCTGGATAGGATTGCCCTCCTTCTGAAAAGCAAATCTAGAACTTGAGACTTGTCTTGGACTCAGTCCAAGATGGATTAATTCAGGTGGCTTATCCTGACTAGAATGCAGCACCAGTTGTGGTGCTATCTAGACTATGAGATTGTTAGCAGCGATTTAAACCATATCAATAAATGCTGAGATTACTTGCTTCACATATGGCTGGCTGGAAATTGCAATTGATACAGAATGTGGTTTCCTGGAGGTTGATGAGAGAAGCCACTACTATAATAATAAAGATATTCCAGTCTCTAAATTGGTTACAGATTTCCAAGAGCAATTCAGATTGTTAGGTTTTTTTTTAAAAGAAGTCTTTTGATCTGGGACAACAAAGCCAGTCAACAAAACATTTGTATTCATCATTTATAAATTGGGAAATTAGAGTCACAATTTGCAACACTTTTCCCATATGAACAAAACATAAGAAAGCAAAGATATAGAATTGATAGAAGAGATATTTGTCAATTTATTACTTTATTATTAGTTTAAAAAGCATTATGAACTGCTAACAATAGTTCCACAGCACTTTTAATTTTATACCTTTATACTACAGATTATGACAAGTGGAAAGCTTGCTATTTGAAATGCTAGTTATGAGTCCCAATACAAAAAACATTACTGGTAATCTAGCAACCATTCGCAGTTATGTGATTAAAAAAGTAACTTTGTGACTAATACTTAGCATCTACAACACTGAAAAGTTTATAAAACCAAAAAGCTGAAGTAAGATCAGAAGCACAGTTAGTTTCAATTAGTGCCCATTTGCTGAACAACCAAGTTGCTTGTCCCAATTGTGATTACCAAACAATGATTACCTGTAATTCTCATTCTATCTGTAATGGCTCTGTGATGATGTAGTAGTGGTGTTGGCCATAATGATTATAATGATCATATACTTTTCATTGGCAGTAGATTTGAGTCATTGAATGCTGCTTTTCTGTATACTTCAGCAACCTGTTATGGATCTACAAATTATTCATCTTCGTTAGTTTATAGAATAAGGACCCCTCAGTTCAACCAACAATGAATGACTAAACATCTCCTTGCATTCTGCCTATTGATGGCTGATACATATTTATGTTTGCACATATAATATGTCTATGTCTGTGCAAATTTGTCATATTTTATTCACTGATTTACCTTGTTTTAATCTATAGGAACAACATTCTAAATAAAGGTCTCTAATAGTTTGGAATGTGAACTGTAAATTACTGTTTATCATTGTGAATTATTTCATTATCCAGGGTTTCTGAATGGCAATATGGTATTATATAATTCCAGATGTGGTAGTTCAGGAAAGAATGTCTAGATCACTACAAACCACTTCCAGTTCAGAGAATTAAGTTCAGAAAATACCTCAATGACCCAAGAATAATGGGAAGAACCAGAATGTTCAGTTTTAGTATTTTACATTTATAGTCTTTACCCTGTCACATTTGTATCATTACAATCCCACATTTGATAAAATAAACATACACCTAATATCTTTGTCTTAGGATGAACCCAAGAATATCCACTGATGTTAGACAAGATGCATTAGAGCACTACTTTTCAAAAGGCTGTTGAGAGAAGAGAAAAAAAATCCCAAAGACTTTGTTGTTTTTCCTTGTGTTTTACTTTGAATTTTCTCCTAAAGGAAGGCTCTGAGATTGCTTACAGTCCATAAGTAATATGAATTACATTTTATAGTCCATAAACTTAATATTCTGATAGACCAAGAGGTCTTAAGTCTATCTTCATCTTGATCTTCACATTTTATTTTATATTTCCTTCTGTAAGATATCATTAAAATATTTGCAATTTCAAACTGGACCACCATTTAATATTTCAGATGGAGTATTTACACATTATTTTCCAATTTTTCACCAAGCCTTTCTTTCTCCCCTTTGCACATCTCTTTTATCTTACTTTTTATAAAGAGTCTTTTATGGGGAATTAGCAGAGCAGTATTAAGATTCTCCTCATTTGTAATTTTAACCATGAATAATTCCATAGTTTAAATTCCATAAACAAAAAAAAGTGTGGTTTCGGTGGTATTTGCATGTTCTGTTTATTTGACTGGAAAAGAATCTTTAGGTGCTAGTAAATACCTCCCTTGTTGACTCTAATGAAGAAATACATTTGTTGCTAGAGTGTTCCATTAAAAATGGACAAAACTAAACATGTTAAAATAAAAAATACTATCTTTTTATAGACTATTTAGTCGGCACGATCCTCAAGCAGAGGAAGCACTAGCCAAGAGGAGAGGACGGAATAGTCCAAATGGGAATCTTATTAGGATGCTGGTCCTTTTCTTTCTTGAAAGCGAGGTAAAATTATTTTATGTTGAATTTTATTTAAACTGATCAGTTTTAACAACAACTTGTGTGTCCAATCACACTTGGCCAGTAAAATTCTATTCTATTCTATTCTATTCTATTCTATTCTATTCTACTATACTATACTATACTATACTATACTATACTATACTATACTATACTATACTATACTCTATACTCTATACTCTATACTCTATACTCTACTCTGTTTCTATTCCTATTCTTATTCCTATTTCTATTCCTTTCTATTTCTATTTAAATCTATTTATTGTGGCTAAATATCTGTTTCCAGAGAATGAGGCTATGGTAAAATTTGAGTATATTTTGATCTTTATAATTACCACAAACTGGAAGTAACCAGTTTGATTTCATTATTATAAAATATCATATTGTAAGATTGAAGAAAATGCTCAAAACTACAAGTGAGAATTTTTAAATAAAGCTTTTTGTTTGCAACTTAGCTCTAAATCTTAAATAAGATTTTTTTCCTATTTTGTAACTTGAATTAAACAAGCTTTTTATAATGAACATATTACAAACTTGAATAGACCACTGAAATATAATAAGTCAGCTTGTTAATTATAATGACCTGTGTTGGCGCAGTGATTAGAGTGCAGTACTGCAGGCTACTTCTGCTGGCTGCCAGCTGCCAGCAATTTGGCAGTTCAATTCTCACTAGCTCAGGGTTGACTCAGCCTTCCATCTTTCCGAGGTCGGTAAAATGAGGACCCAGATTTTTGGGGGCAATATGCTGACTCTGTAAACCACTTAGGGCTGTAAAGCACCATGAAGTAGTATATAAATCTAAGTGCTATTTCTATAATGCTATCGGGAAAAATTATAAATTAGAACTGTGCTTGTGTGTGAATAGGTTATGCAAGATCATGTTAAATACAGCATAAAAAACGAGAGGAAATGTTCTTGCTTTAGACTTTTACAAATCTGTGTTTTTCTAATATAATACATGTCTTACTAATTAAAAAGTGACTTTAACACTGAATATCTTTTTCTGTTACTTTTCACTGCCTTTTATTATACCTCAATATGATTATTACATTACCCACAAATGTATTCTTTAGTGCAGCATCAAATGCATTTTTAGACATCTGACTTAAATTTATGCAGTTGCAAAATATGACAGGGTACTAAATCACAAAATCATCAATCGCAAAGGAAGCAGATATGAATATTTAAAAAAATATCTTAGGATAGGATATCTGCTAAGCAACTGCTAAGCAACATATTCAAAAATATAATCTTTAATTTGTATTGTAATGAGCATTGAAAACAATTACTATATTTTTTTAAGATAAAAAACTCTTCAAGGGTTGAAAACTAAGTAGACTAGCATTTCATCTGAAAGTGGAGTAGTATATGTTTTGCAAAACCAAGACAATCTGAAATTAAAATTATACTATCAGTCTACAAAGGAATGAAGATCAAACTGAATTCATCAGTAAGCATGTATTTTAATGTGGTTAGGGTATAATAATAGAATCTTGAAAATATGTCAAAGCCTCTCTCTGTTTTAACTTACAACTAATCCAAATAAGACAGAGTTGCTTTGACTTTGTTTTTAATGCTTTCTACCTTCCCAAGACTTGTATATCTTTTCTGTAACAGCTCAGCATTTTCCCTTTTCTGAATCAGGCTCTAATACCTTCCCAATGTTTTACATATTCTTACATAATGCTGAAAATAATACTATAAGTAGGGTCTGTGACAATGTCTATAAAGAGTTTTGTTTGTTTTAATTTTTAGTTACATGAACATGCTGCTTATTTGGTGGATAGTTTATGGGAAAGCTCTCAAGAACTGTTAAAAGACTGGGAATGCATGACAGAATTGCTACTAGAAGAACCTGTCCAAGGTGAAGAAGGTACTCATCAGGTTTACTTATTTGATTAAAACAAGATAGCATTGTCTAGTCTCTTCCATTTAAGGCAGTGAAGTGCATTGGACTGCTTATTTAATCTGTGCTTTCAGATTATAATGTTTGGGTCCCAGTAAAATCAACAGTGCAAAGTAATTGTAATTAATTTAAGGGTCTTGGTCAGAATTTAGCTTTTTACTTACTATACCCAAATCCAAAATTATGTATTTATTACATTTATTGGCATCCATCCAAATAAATCAATGTGACTCTGGGCAGTGTACAACAACAAAAATAAACATTAGCAAAAAATAAAATATCTAAAATAACCTCCTCTAATATATAAAATGGTAAACTAAATTAATTAATTAAAACAACCAGAAACAAATTCCACTCAACTAAAGCCAATTACCTGAAGAAAAAGCCAAATCTTACTTAATGAGTTTTCTAAAGATAAGCAGCATTGAGACTATCGTATAATTGGGACGAGGGGGACTGAGAATAGAGGCAACTATCAAAAACAAACATCTTGAAAGTCCCATATGATGACAGTATTTCAGTGAGGGATCCTGGAGCATGACTTCAGGAGCTGAAGGTGGGCAAGTTGTTCTTGAGAGGTGTTCTTGCAAGTAACCTAGTTCTATGCCATATAAGGAGAGAGGGTGGGAGAGAGACACAGACAGACAGAAGACAGACTATTTCTTGAGGAAATACAGAATTAAAAACTACAGAAACAATTTTAAAAAATATAAAAGTGAAAAAATTGAAAAACAATGAAAGTCAAGAAAAGAGTAGAAAGAAAAAGAAAAACATCTAAAGATATTGCTATCTTTTTTTGAAGCAGTACAAACATGATTGTTACTATTTCGATCCTCCCAACTTACATATTGCAGTTTTTTTCTGCCCATGAACAACTGTAATCAGTAATTACCAAGATTATCATTTCTTTTTCAGAATTAATTTTGTTTATTTTCAGCAAAAAAAACCCATAAAGCGTTTCTAGTCTTTTATCAAAGTAATTATTGTTCCTTCCCTAATTAAATAGGTCAATTTAGCCATTTCAGCAAGTTCTGCTATCTTCACAATCCACTTTGGGTATTTCTACATTTTTCCATTTTTGTGTATGTGATGGTTTCATTGCACTTACTATATATAAAACCAGTCATTTATGTATGTATCTTTTCTTGCTGATTGTTCATAAATCCTAGTAAAAAAGGCTTTAATTTCAACAGAAAACTATGTTTTCATGTTTTTCTGCATCATTGTATATGTTTATATCCAATATTTTTTCACTTTTTCACAAATTTACCATGCATGGTAAAATGTTGCCTTATGTTTTTCATATTGCCAGCAACAATTATAAGTACCTTTGTAATATTAGTCTCTCCGGTGACATGTAGCAAAAGTATATCATTTTATAAAATAATATCTCATAAATTATGTTGCAATATGAATGTCAGGCCTTGTAACCACATTCTTTCCCATTGATCCATCTGTATATTATAGACTAATTTCTTGCATTTCAAATCTTAATATATAACTGTTGGCACTCACTATCTCTCAGTCCATGACATCGGGCTACTATGGTAACAAGTTGATCAGTTAATTCCTATCACACCAATGGTTTGACAGTTGGTTGACCCTGTACTTGAGGGAAAACACCAGAAAAAAAATCACATTTATACAAATTTCCCCATGAAATTCTGTTACATATTGTTCTATATATAGTAATTTTCTGTCCATTTTGAACCTCTGTCTTAATTAGAAGTTATGAACATTTGAAACATAATATATGAAAACTACCAAAAAGTAAATTCTTCTGAAGTCAATTGTTTTCTTGCTTTTNTTATCTTGTTTTCCATTTTCTTGTACTAACAAATCTAGATATGTTAACCCTCTCTCTTTGCCTATTGCTCTTTTCTATAAAATATTTCATAAGCCAAGACTGACCTAAGTATTTTCAGTCATAATGGTTTTTAAAATCTAATTTACTTTGTCATAACAAAAACAACCGTGGTGTCCAAACCTTATCAAAGACCTTTTTTTTGCCTCCAGTGATGCCAAAACCAATTATTCACTTTTATTAATATACACAAATAATATATTAATCAAGAATCTATTATCCATTCATAAAGATGGATTATTATTGTCAGTACGGGTAGTCCTCGACTTAGGACCACAATTGAGCCTAAAATTTCTGTTGCTAAGCAAGACATTTTTTAAAGTGAGTTTTGCCCCATTTCACAACTTTTTGTGCCATAGTTAAGTGAATCACTGCAGTTCTTAATTTAGTAAAATAGTGGTTAAGTTAATCTGATTTCACTTGTCAGAAAGTCGCAAAAGGTGATAACATGACTCCAGACACTGCAACTGTCATAAATATGAGTCAGTTGCCAAGTGTCTGGATTTTGATCACATGATCATGAGGGTACTGCAACGGTTGTAAATGTGAAAAATGGTCTTAAGTCACTTTTTTCAGTGCTGTTGTAACTTTGAACAGTCACTAAATGAACTGTTGTAAGTCAAGTACTACCTGTAGTAGTTTCTATAATATTCTTGCCAAGATTCCTGTTAAGAGTCTTGACAATAGCGTTTTACAAAGATATCACTTATAGCTTCTGCAGTTAATAAGATCCTTACCAGTTTTCAAGTTACAATTATATAATCATTATAACATCACATTACTAGAGTTTTTCTTTTACAATATTACTTGATATATATCTAGCCATAAAGGAGCTACTCTGTCCTGAGTTTTTTTTTATACTCTTTTATTTATTACATCTGGCTCTGGGGGCTTTCCAAATGCCATCGTAACAATAGAGCCATAAATTTCCTGTAAAATTAGGTGCCTGCCAAGGACATAGAAACATCCTCTCTCTCCAAGCTGTACACTTTAAAAGAGACAAAGTAGGAAAAAGAATAGGGGAAGATATTACCCTGATTCTATAGAATATAAGTGTAACAAATGTACTGTTATGATCCAGGTGGTCAAGGCAAGGCAGGCCTCCAGAGAGTCCTTTATTGCTCTCAATAAATGTTCCAGCAACCAGCCCTTCAATAACCGGTAAGGCTCCACCCTCACGCTACCCTGAAGTCTCCCAAACAACAGCTCCTATACTACAAAGAAGGTCCACAGAGTAGGAGCATGCTCACAGGGCAAAGTCCAGGGTTCCAAGTCTACTCGACTAGGCTAAGCGAGTCCACGAGGCTAACTGTAGTCCACAGGCAAATTCACGGCAAAGATAAGGTACAAAGCAGTTCTAAAAGTAAAGCAAAGCAAAGGGCAAAAGCAGTCCACAAGACAAGGGCAAGGTCCAAGACAAAAGGCAGAATGCAGTCTTCACGACTAGCAAAAAGCAGAAGGCAGTCTTCAAGGCAAGACAAAAGACTAAAGGCACTAGTCAAAGCCAGGGCGACCTTCTCCTGAGTAGCCTTGCAGCCCTTCTCTGAGCTTGCCAAGCTCCGCTCTCCATGCCCTAGGATTGACTGGACAAGGCAGCTGTTCCTCATCAGAGGGGATCTGCTGCCTATCAGCACCTTTGCCTGTCAGCAGCCAATCCTCTCCTGTGTCTGTGAAGGCAGGCAGTTCTTCATCTGGTCAGCCACCTCCCCCAATGCCTGAGGGGCCTGGGACAGCAACCTCCTCAGTCCCTGGCTCCAAACATGCCAAGGGGGACATGCCATCCCTGTCGGATGTTCCCAGTTTCCAACTACTACTACTACTCCGAACTGGGCTCCGATGGGGCCATGATATGTACCCATCAACCTTCCAAACCAATAAATTGTGTCCTGAATGGACTGCCATGTACTTCTGTAACAGTCTAAGTATATATGTATGTTTACCGCCTTGAGTTACTTATACTAAAAAACAGGATAAAAATAAACAAACAAACAAACAAACAAATAAATAAATAAATAAATAAATAACATACAGCCTTTATTAAGTGAATTACCAGCCATTTCCAGATCACAGAATTTCTACATACTATTATATAAAAATAAGCCAAAAAGTGCACAATATAAAAAAGAAAGTCTTTTAATCTTTAGTTGTCTGGCCTTGATAAAACTGTTTACATTTCTATGCTTTCCTGGAATATATAACAGTAATATAATATTTTTCCCTCATACTGCAAAGCTTTTACATTCCTGGCTGCTTATATTTTATATTTTATCATGATCAAACTTCAGCAGAAATCCAGTTAAATCAGGTTTCAAATATTGTAAGTATTTATATCTGAAAAGTTTACACTAAACTGCCTCAATTAATGTAGCAGTTAACTTAAATAGGTCTTTAAAACATTTTGCCATTGTTTATGCCTATATTATAGAAAATGAAAATTTAAAAAGTACTTTTTTTCTTTGTTTTCTTGACCATGGATTTAGACCAGGACTTCTTGGCAGGCCACCAGATCTAAAAATCTTGTTATATCTTGTGCAACTAAAACTGCAGTCTTTTAACTTACAAACTTTTCATCAGTATATTCTGAAATATGGCAGTTTATTACTTGTAATATCACCAGAATCTCTAAACTTTCATATCTCACACAATGACATATGGAATTTCAGGAGATGAAAGCACTTGTTATGTATTTCCTATTTAAATTAACAGTTTCAACCAATAAAATATATACCTGACAAGGGAAGGTGGATAATTTCCCACTCTAAGCCTCAGAAGCCTCTATGGTAGCTTTACCAGAAACTGAGCCTAGAATGAGAGTTTGATATCTGAAGGAAGTGTGATCTATTGAAGGAGAAAAAAGAAAAAGAGAGATATTGCTTTGTAGGATTGCATGACATCTTAGCATATTGTTATCTTATCAGAAATTGGGGAATGATATACATTCATATTATATAAAATCAAAGGAACCACTCCAGTATTATATATACAGCTAGAACGATCAGCTTGACCCCAATACCTGGGAAGATTCTGGAAAAGATATTCAAGCAATGAATCGGTGAACACCTAGAGCAGTGATGGCGAACCTTTTAGAGACCGAGTGCCCAAACCACAATCCAAAAGCCACTTATTTATCGCAAAGTGCCAGGGCCTCATTAGCATTGTGGTGCCCTCGGGGGGGGCAGGGAGGCGCCTCTGAGTGCCGCCTCTGGCACGCAAAAAACGGGGTCACAAAAATGGGCCACCGTGCTGCAAGGCGCAAAAACGGCCACCGCCACCACATTGTGGGATGCAGGTACAAGGCGCTGCACCATGTAAGAACGGGGCAGGGCTAGTGAGTATCATGCAGACACTAGCCCCGCCCCATTTGCATCAGGTGCTTGCTCGTGGCCCCGTGCATGCATGCACGCATGTAAAATGCTTCCCCCTCCCTTTTCTTCCAGTCCACCAATCGACAATGGTTGGTGACCTCTGCTCTACCACCTCTACTCGAGCTTGCTAGTCAGCCACTTCGCCTCCTTTGTGCTGGGCAGGGCTCCTGCTCCGGGCGGCGGGGGCAGCCTGATGGACCTGCTGCTGGCGGCGGTGGCACCCGTGCCAACAGGGAGGGCTCTGAGTGCCGCCTCTGGCACGTGTGCCATAGGTTCGCCACCACTGACCTAGAGGCAAACAAAGTCATTACCAAAAGCCAACATGGGTTTGTCAAAAACAGATCATGCCAGACAAATCTTATTGCATTCTTTGACCAGGTGACAAAATTAGTGGACCAGAGGAATGCTGTGGATATAATTTACTTGGACTTCAATAAGGCATTTAATAAAGTAGACCAAACCTACTACTTGATAAGATAGAAAAATGTGGGTTAGACTGCATCACCACCAAATGGATTCGTAGCTGGCTGACCAGCCATACTCAGCGTGTGGTCCTCAATGGAACTGCATCTACATAGAGGGAAGTATGTAATGGGGTGCCCCAGGGCTCTGTTCTGGGCCCAGGGCTCTTCAACATCTTCATCAATGATTTGGATGAGGGGATAGATGGGGAACTCATCAAATTTGCAGATGACACCAAGCTGGCAGGAATAGCCAACACTCTAGAAGATAGGCTTAAGATACAGGAGGATCTGGACAGACTTGAATACTGGGCGCTATCTAACAAAATGAAATTCAATAGTGAAAAAAGTAAGTTCTACATTTAGGTAAGAAAAACCAAATGCATAGGTATAGTATAGGGGATACTTTGCTCAATAGTAGTAACTGTGAGAGGGACCTCGGAGTCCTAGTGGACAATCACTTAAATATGAGCCAGCAGTGTGCTGCAGCTGCCAAAAAAGCCAGCACAATGCTAGGCTGCATTAACAAAAGGATAGAAGCAAGTTCACGTGAAGTGTTAATACCACTTTACAATGCCTTGGTAAGGCCACACTTGGAATACTGCATCCAGTTTTGGTCACCACGATGTAAAAAAGATGTTGAGACTCTAGAAAGAGTACAGAGAAGAGCAACAAAGATGATTAGGGGACTGGAGGCTAACACATAAGGAACGGTTGTTGGAATTGGGTGTGTCTATAATGAAGAGAAGGACTAGGGGTGACAAGATCGCAGTGTTCCAATTCCAATATATCAGGGGTTGCCACAAAAAAGAGGAAGTCAAGCTATTTTCCAAAGCGCCTGAAGGCAGGACAAGAAGCAATGGATGGAAACTGATCAAAGAGAGAAGCAACCTCGAACTAAGGAGAAATTTTCTGACAGAACAATTAATCAGTGGAACAACCTGCCTCCAGAAGTTGTGAATGCTCCAACACTGGAAGTTTTTAAGAAAAGACTGGACAGCCATTTGTCTGAAATGGTATAGGGTTTCCTGCCCGAGCAGGGGGTTGGACTTGAAGACCTACATGGTCTCTTCCAACAACATCATCATCATCATCATCATCATCATCATCATCATCATCATCATCATCATCATCATCATCATTATTATTATTATTATTATTATTATTATTATTATTATTGCAGTGAATATGATCCATTTTACTTTGGGTTGTAATGCTATTTTTAAAGTATTTGGAAATATTTATCTTTTAATTATTGCTTTTAATGTAAACCTCAGAGTCATTTCAAAGTGAGATGGGCGGCAAATTTCATTATAAATAAAATAAATATAAGACTCAAAAATTGTGTATATATTACTTAGAGGTTTAAATGAAGCCAAATAAATAGACTTTTAAAAAAATCTTTAAAATATTGGAAGAGCATTTTGGATTTCAATTTAGTTAAGTCAGCTTGGAACTGACTTCTTGAAGTATTAAACAAAACTATTGTGGCAAACCATTGATAAATTAATTACGAAATGTATTCAGATTACTTAGCCAAATTAGTCACTGCTAAGCAGTGGAAATAAATAGATGATATTTCAATGGCTAGATGGCATGTTAAGATCTGATCTGCAGCTTTCTTGAAAGCTCTGATAAATTCCATTGGATGATAAAGGAAAGAATCGTTGAAAAAAATTATTATTTACATAAGAGTTAAGCATTTTGACTTCTGTCAAACATTATGGGCATGTTAAAGATATATCAGCAATATGTAAATTTTGTGTAACTCAGATAAAATTAATTAATTAACAGAACATCTCATAGATAGCACTTTATCCTGTAAAGTCATCCATCACATGACCGTGTCCTTGTCTTCAACCTTTTACCATGGTTAAGTGAATCACAGAGTTGTTAAGTGAAATCTGGCTTCCCCCATGTCTGAAGCCGGTTGAGAATGTTGCAAATGGTGATCACATGTCCCTGGATGCTGCAACCAGTGTAAATACATCCAGTTGCCAAGCACCCAAATCATGATAAAATCATGACAGTCATAAATGTGAAGTCACTCTATTCAGTGCTTTAGCGACTTGGAACAGTCACTTTTTTAAAAAAAAATTATGTTTCTTATTTTCAGTGTTATGACTGGTATTACTATTATTACTGCTACAGGTTTTAGAAGATAAAATGTCTTGTTGTTCAGGATATTGAGCAAAAATTGTAGCATTATTTGCATAGATTAGTTGCCAACATTTCAATGCTCTGTTTATATTCTTTATCTCTGTAGCAATGTCTGATCGTCAGGAAAGTGCACTTATAGAGTTAATGGTATGTACAATTCGACAAGCTGCAGAAGCACACCCTCCAGTGGGCAGAGGAACTGGCAAGAGAGTAAGTTTTTTTTTGTTACTTTTCTCTTGGACTTTTTGTACGCGTGTTTTTTTAGTGATTTTAAATATTTCAATAAGGAAAAAGTTATTGGAAAACATTTGTCACAAATGATATTTGGGTTCAATATTCTATTTTGTAAGGCCTTTTCTTTAAAATGCAAAGTATTGGAATTGCTTTCTAGAACACTGACAATTCAGATGTTTTTTGTAATCCTGTCCAGAACATAAAATGTTTGCCTTGATGAGCACTCATAATGAGAATGTGGAGGTGCACATCTCAAACATTTAGAGATATACTCAAAGAACTTTTGGGAGATGCACATCTTTGTAACAAAATGGCTTAAGGTGCTAAAAAATCTACATACTTTGTATTTAAATAACTGTACAGGTAGTCCTTAGCTAATAATCATTTCATTCAATGACTGTTCAAAGTAAAAACAGTATTAAATAAAGAGGCTTATGACTAGTTCTCAGAGTTGCAGCTATAGCAGAATCCCCGCAGTCATGCTATCATAATTTGGGAGCTTGGCAACTGGCTCACAATTATGACAGTTGTAGTGTCCCATGGTATTGTGATCACTATTTATAAACTTCACTGCTGGCTTCCAACAAGTAAAGTCAATAGTGAAACTGGCACATGATGTCACAATTAACAGCTGCTTAGGATTTGCTTATTGACTGCCACCGGAACTGCCATCAGTGTGGTCACATGATATCACTTGGTGATGGAGTTGCCAGTCCAATTATTGCCATTAACTGAGAACTACTTATATTCATTCCTATTGCAGCATTCTCAGTGGGAAAATGTTTCTTTCAATTTGAGTTATAATAGTAGTGTCCTATTAAAAACCAGCATATTAATTTGGAGATTAACTAGGCTGCTGCATAAAGAAGCCACAATTTGTATTTTTATTGGCAAAGTTTATATTACAATTGTTTATGATGTGATAGTCCCCCTATTTTTCAGGTTTTAACAGCAAAAGAAAGAAAAACTCAGATAGATGACCGGAACAAGCTAACAGAACACTTTATTATTGCACTTCCCATGCTCCTATCAAAGGTATGTCAATAGAATGTGATTCTGTAATAATAGTTATATGAGTCTTTTTCTAATTTGTGTATTAATTCTCATTTTTTCCTATTGCTAGTATTCTGTTGATGCAGAGAAGGTGGCAAATCTTCTTCAAATTCCTCAATATTTTGACTTAGAAATTTACAGTACAGGAAGAATGGAGAAGGTATAGTACACCAAAATGGAGTAAATCTGAGTAATACTAATTTATGTTAAGGTCTGGTAATTATTTGGAATTTTACATTTCTGTGCTCTATTTTCATGTTTAAGTTAGAGTAATTGCTTCAAGAAATGACCAGAAATTTTTCTTTGTTCCACAGCATTTGGATGCTTTGTTGAAACAGATTAAATTTGTTGTAGAGAAGCATGTGGAATCAGATGTTCTTGAAGCCTGCAGTAAAACATACAGCATTCTGTGCAGTGAAGAATATACCATTCAGAATAGGGTTGACATAGCTCACAGCCAGCTCATTGATGAATTTGTGGATCGATTCAACCATTCTGTGGAGGATCTATTAAATGAGGTTTGCTTGTATCCTGTTTTTGCTAGAGTAAAATATCTGCCTACACATTAGTACCAGAACATTATTTTAATTGTTTAATTTTTTTTTGTTTGCATCCCAGAACATCAAATGAGAACTAAATTTCTATTGTATTGGTGGTATATAAGAGGCCTAGACAGAGGTGGGTGGAAAACCACATGAATATATTTACCACAGAGAACAAAAGAAAAATCTTTTTCTGTTTAATGATATTGTGATTATAAAGTGAAGTGATGCAAGGAAATTAGTTCCTGACACTTAGCCATGGTGGCACAGTGATTAGAACGCAGGCTAACTCAGCCTTCCATCCTTCTGAAATCAGTAAAACAAGGACCCAGATTATTGGGGGGGAATAATCTGACTCTATAAACAGAGTGTTGCAAAGCACTATGAAGTGGTATATAAGTGCTATTGTTATTAGCGATATTGTGATTCTAAAGTGATGTGATACAAGGAAATTAGTTTCTGACACAGTTATTGCTTCCATTAAGTTTGAAAGTGGAAGAGAAGCCATCTGTATAGTCAAGAACTCTGATCATATTTCTAATAGATGCATTGTTTCAAATGTGGATAGTTTCCATTATCCTCAACTTATGACTTTAAGAGGGACAGGAAAAATCGTTGTTAAACAATTATTGTTAAGGGTGACATCACATGACTGCCTGATTTTACCTTTTTTGCTGCAGTTATTAAGCAAATCACTCATGGTTGTTAAGAGAGATATCATGTGACCACTACTTGCAACCTTCAGGCTTCCCTAATGACTTTGCTTCTCAGAAGCCAGCTGGGAAGGTTGCAGATGGCAGTCACATGACTGTAGGATGCTGTGAGTTTCATAAATGTATAATGGCCCAAACCTTGATCTTGTAAATGGAGATGTGCAAGAGTCATTAAGTGTGAAGACCAGTCATAAGTCATTTTTTTCAGAGCAGTTGTAACTTTGAACAGTTGCTAAATGAATGGTCATTAAATGAAGGCTATCTGTACATAGAACCTCTTTATTTGGAGAGAGAAAGATTCATGTAACATGAACTTTTTTTCATAATTAGAATTCAATTAACTTGTAAATACATAGCTTTTGTAATTATCTACTCGTGAAAGAGGAACAATACTATATCTAATTTAAATCATATACTAAATTATTTATATAATTTAGCTCTATATCTATCAGCTCAATTTTATAAGTGGACAAAGAATATAAAAGTATTGTGTTAAAATTGCAACTTATCTCCAACAATATACATAATCTTCCAAACAAGCCCATATTTCTTTTTTTAAGTCAATTTTAATCAGTCCTTCATTTTTAGTGTTAATATTCAACTTCTTATTTTTTTCAGTATTTCAATAATTCCTGGGATTACTCTACACATGACAGAAATTATTTTCTTTTTTGTCAAAAGCAGAAAGAGTTAACTTGTGCACCTCAGAATTAAAATGAGAATTTATTTTCTAGGAGTCATACATGTATTGTCATATATGTTCTGGTACCTTAATTCCTGTCAAGCATATACAGTTTTTTCATGCTTGCCTGTATTAGGCAGATCAAATCTATATTTAAATTTGTCACTCATATAACAATACATAGGAGAACCTTACTTGGAGTTCAGTGCAAACTCTGAGTTTCGTTTCTGAAATACAAAGTTATACAAATTCTCAACAGCCATTGCTATACATAGGTAGGAATCTATATTCTTAAAGATAAATGTAATATATAAATTGCTCAGCTCATGTTCCACTTTGTTTTGTTTCCAGGGAGAAGAAGCTGATGATGATGATGTATACAATGTTCTTTCTACTTTAAAGAGATTAACGTCATTTCACAAGTATGTGACTTTATGAAATTTTATAGTTATTTAAAGATGGTCAGACATTTATACTCTTGCAAAAAATTAAGCAAGATTGGAAGGTTTTTATTGTTTACACATCTTAGAGAGTGTGTGTGTGTACATACATACATATACACATACACATACACATACATACAAACAGCTACTTTACACAAGATGTAGGAAAGAAACTCCATAGTTTAAGAAATCTCATAGTTTATATGTTGTACTTAAACTATTATTTATTACAGTGATTTTATTACTGCATTTGTTCAATCTTTACTGTACATGTTTGTTAAATGCATTTTATAATTTCTCTCAAAAGCGCTCATGACCTTACAAAATGGGATTTGTTCAGTAACTGCTACAGGTTATTGAGGACAGGAATTGAACATGGAGCTATGCCAGAACAGGTAATATTAAGTAATATGTGCTGCTGTCTTCATAAAATACAATATGAAAGGGATTTGGCTGTTCCCCAGTAAAAGCTCTATATGTAATTTTCTTATATTACTGTTTTTCCTCTTTTTATTATTATTCTAATAGTACTATAATACTGTTTTGCTTTGACAATTGAGATGGCTAGGCATATGAGTGAGTGAGTGAGTGAGTGAGTGAGTGAGTGAGTGAGTGAGTGAGTGAATGAATGAATGAATGAATGAATGAATTTTGTGACTACCAAAAGTCCATTAAATTGAGTTGGACTTAAGCAATTAAGGCACCAAGCTAGAAACCAGGAGACTGTGCGTTCTAGTCCCACGTTAGGCATAAAAGCCAGCTGGGTGACTTTGGACCACCCAATCTCTTTCTGTCTCAGTCCAAACCAGTTCATAAGGTTGTTGTGTGGAAAATAGGAGGAGGAAAGAGTATTTGGTATGTTTGCTGCTTTGAGTTTTTATAAAAGTAATAAAGGCAAGATATTTTTAATTAATGTTCTTTACTATATCCTATCTTCATTTGAGGTGCAAAAGTATAAAGTTATTTATCTCTCCCATAATTTTACCTTCGCAACGGTTCTATGAATGATTAGGCTAAAAGATAATATGTGGTCCACAGTCCTTCAAATTAGCTTTATTGCTAAATAGAAATGTGACTACTTTAATCCATGGAAAACAGTGTAATTTTCATTAGCACCTTTGTGCTTGCACACAATTCCCTTGGCACCTGATAAGATTTCTTGTCTCCTTTTATTTTTAAAGATTTGGAAAAATCAGGAGAAAAATAAAAGTAAAAAGAAATAGTCATGTTAAGCAAAACATCAGTTTCATATGTTTCATTTTAATGTGCTGTAACAAACTAGGTTCATGCTATCAAAATAAATAGTTTCAAGTTTCGAACAAGCTACTTTAAACCATACCATACGTTTTTAAATTGAGATGCTTAGGCTATCTTTATATGTGTCTATACATTTGAGCTTTCCTGGCTTTAAACTATACAATTGAAATTTCAGTTGGTTGTAACTATTATTTGTCCTCCATCTCAAGAATTAATAAACTGATCCCTTGTATTGTCTTAAACTCCTTTAAATACATTGTTTGCAAACAATAGTTTATAATTGCTACAAACTGTACAAACTTTATACTTTTTTGTCTGTTGTGAATTTTGTTTCAGATAGTGGTTCAGGCTCTTCAGTGTTCCCATTATTCTATTCTTTGGCAGCTGGTAAAAATTACAGAAGGATCTCCTTCAAAAGTAAGATACTATGGATCACCGATAGTTGAGTTGATTGTCCTACATTCTTTCATAAATGCCCTATTTCTGGCATCAACAGGACAATATTTACTGTATACAGATAATGTCCAATTTGCAATCATTCATCTAGGGACTGTTCAAAGTTACAACAGCACCGAAAAAAGTGATTTATGACCAGTTCTTGTACTTAAACAACTGTCACAGCTTTTCTATGGTTACATGATCAAATTTTGGATGCTTGGCAACCAGCAAGTATTTTACAACAGTTGCAGCATTCTGGGATCATGTGGCCATTTGTGACCTTCCAAGCCAGCTTCCAACAAGCAAAGTGAATGAGGGAAGATGGATTCATTTAACAACTGCATGATTCACTTAATAACTGCATGACTCATTTAACAATCATGGTAAAATGGTTATAAAAGTCTGTCTCACTTAACATCCATGTTGCTTAGCAACAGAAACATTGGTCTCAAATGTGATAGTATGTCGAGGACTACCTGTAATACATTTTGCTTTTCAATGACCCTATAAGCATGTGTCATGGCCCCTGTTACATGTTTTTCACCTGTGGTTCTAGTTGAGAATTACTATTCTATATAATTTTGAGCTGGGATTTTTCTTGCATTTTAACTTTATCAATGCATTTCCACTTAAATCTGCTGTAAGATTACAGCCCTCATGTCTATCTTCTTATCTGGATATCATGGTTCCCACTTACATAAAATGGGAAAAGTTATTTATTTTTCTGCATCCAACTTGCATGTATATCCACTCTTAGGTATTGCACATATATATAATTAGCATATCAGGAATAGAAGAATAATCATTTGAAAAACATTTCATTGTGAAATCTTAATACTATGTATATGATTCATTAGCTGAAGTTCTTATACCACATAAAGTTTCCTCATGATCTGACTATAATGACCTTCCTTTCTATAAATGAAAAACAATTGCCATGGCAGAATCCCATTTTCAGTATATGAATTTTCAAATTACATCTTCATGTGAATAAAAATATGTAGAAAAATGACTCCCACAAATTATGGAAACATTTTTTCCCCAGGTATACTGTTTTTCCCTATTATTTTATACTCACAAAATCCATTCTCAAATGCTATTATTACTTTCCTACATATTGTTGAAATGTTGATAGTCCTTAATGTATGATCACAATCGGGACCAATTGTTAAGTGGTGCAGTCATTAGGCAAGGCATCATATAACCATACCTGATTTTATGACCTTTTAGCCACAGTTGTCATTAAGCGAGACACCACATGATCATGACTTGTGACCTTCCCTGCTGGCTTCCCTATTGACTTAGCTTGTCGGAAGCCAGCTGAGAAGATTGCAAATGGCAATCATGTGACCCTAGGACTCTGCAACTATTGTAAATGAGAGCCAGTTTCCAATCACCCAGATCATGTGATTGGAGGGTCACTACAATGACTGTAAGTGTGAAGACTGGTTATAAATCACTTTTTTTCAATGCTGTTGTAATTTCAAACAGTCAATAAATGAATGGCTGTAATTTGCGGGCTACTTGTATGTTTACTTTTTTTTCTGTTTAATGTTTCTGGTAGGGCACAAGAAAGAGCAGAGTTGATGGAAGATAGTGTAGGCAGGCCGCCAAGTGTCCCAAGTTTTGATTACATGACTATATTGGCACTGCAATGACCATAATTTTGGGGATCGGTCATAAGTCCATTTTTTCAGCACCATCTTAACTTTGAACAATTGCTGAATGAATAGTCATTAGTCAAGGGCTACCTGTACATTGAATAATATGATATGGTCATGTCTGGCTTTGGTTTCATTTTGGAAATAAGATACATTGATAGATATATAGGTACACTCTTCAAGTTAAAGTTGTTAATGAGTGTTTTTGAGGAATGTTGTTTATATTGGGCATGTAGATTCGCCAAGGGAGTTACATTGAGAGGTTGGAAAAGTACTGTTAACCAGATATCATAGTCTTGATTCAGAAATATTTAATGTTTCTAGTTTTGAAATTATTTTTCTAATTAAAAATGGGCATAATACATTTCTTTTTGGGCATAGTATTTCTTTTATATCCTATAAGAATAGACATTTTATGTATATTTTGATAAATAGTTATCAATTATATGAATGTGATTTATTGTGGTGATTTATATTAGTAGTATATTATTGTTTAGGTATATATTTCTACTTTATTTCTTCTTGACATTATCTTTCCCTTGGTATTATCATTTCATAATAGAAAAAAAATATCTTAAATATTCCCTTGTTAACCACTGAGACATAACTTTAAAACTATGTACTGCAGTAACTGCCATCATTTTCCAAATCTGCTTACTGCAGGTCTATTTTATTCTTGGATTTTATTATTTAAATTGTGATATTGTGAGCTAATTTAGAGGCGCCATCTGCAGCTATTATTACACAGTATTTTTTTTCTTCTCTCTATTCTGAATATTTTATTCCTGAAAATGTTGACTGATACTAAAAATCAGACAATTGTTTTATATGTTTCCTCTAGGAAGATTTATTGGTATTAAGGAAAACAGTCAAATCATTTCTGGCTGTCTGCCAACAGTGTCTGTCAAATGTCAACACTCCAGTAAAAGAGCAGGTAACAGAAATCACTTAAACACATAAAACATGACGGCAGTATTTTACAAACTGTTGTATATCCTATTTCCTACAAAAATTAAATACTAAGCCTTCTTAATCAACTTGAATAATTTGTAAACTTTTAATATTTCTTCTAATTTAATTTTATCTATTCTGGGAATCTTCTATGAAGGCTATATGTAATTAGCCACACAATTAATATGGTTTCATTCTGAATTAAAATTGAGATCTGGCTAGATAATGGAAGTCAATAGAGTTCCAGAGTTCATTTTAATTATGTTTTCATATTAGTTTTCCTATCTTTTACTTCTGGTTTCTATTACTAATGAAACATGCAAACAAAAATTTAATTGAAACTTTTTGCTAATAACCACTAATGCTATATGTCTTTCTGATTGCGGGGTAAATATCATTTCCTTTCCCCTTAATTTCCATAAGCACTCTTTTGAGTGTAGAATATAATGTTTGTGTATATACTTTGCTGAATGAGATTTGTGATTTTAAAAATTTCCGATAAAGTAATTTGCTCATCATACTTTTTAAAACTTTGCTTATCTTTTTTATAAATCTATCCGTACAAGTATACTTGCTGAAGTGTTTTCCTTATAAAAGTGTTTTTCATTGATAATAATAATAAACTGGTTTTGAAATACTGTTGTATGTGTACTGTCACACTGGTTAGAATAACTCCCTAAGGTATCTATTTGAAAAGACGTGGAGAAAAGATTATGAGGAAGAAAAGATGCAAATGCTTTTGTTTTTGCATTTCATCTTTATTACAATTACAAGCTAAGATAGAAATGAGCTATTTAAAAAGATACAGATTCATTTCCAGAATATACTGCATGTCTTTTTTGTTGTTGTTGTCATTGGATGACAGTATAAAAAGTATGAAAAGGCAAATAGACTTGCTGCTTTTCCTAGACATTTCTTGGTCCCAGTGACCTCTCTGAGAAAGGAAGAGGAATCCCAAGAAGCTGATTACAATGTAATTGAATTCAGTAATTTATCTTTTACTATTTTTAACTTTGGTCCAGATTACTTCAAGAATTATTATTGGAAATATTACTGCAGGTTGTAACATACAGGCAGGCCATGATCCTTTAACAATTGCACCATCAGTATCTCTATTTTTTAAAATTATGTTTTTATTAAGCATTTTTGAGAAAAAAGAAACATGAACAAAAAAGACCTAAAAATAAAACACAGTATGCATATATAGATTTACAAGCCTCATAGAATTTGGTTATTTTTTTTCTATATTTCATTAAATAGTTTTAAATAATTCAGTACATGATATGATCATTGAACAAATCATTGTGAAAATTCAAATAATATTTAGACAGCAATAATCATTTTAGTATAAATCTTAACATGAGATTAAGAACTATAATAATTACAATATAGGTAGTTCTTAGGTTACAACAGTAGTTTGGGCTACTATTGTTGTCACTAAGTAATGCAGTTGTAAAGCATGATATCACCAGTTAGCAATGGTAGCCCTGGTTTTTGTTGTAATCCTAAGATGCATGGGTCCTTAAACAGGAAGAGGCAGGAGTTTCATGCTGTGGGGGTGGCCAGGAGAGAGCCAGTACAGTCCATCCAGGAGGTTGGGGAGAACTGATGCAGTTCACATGCAAGTTGTGGGAGGCCAGGGGAGGGCCAGTGCAGGCCATACACAAATCATGAGAGGGCAAGGGAGGGTCTGCAAGGGCCACATGTTTTGAGGGCAGGAGGAAAAGCAGTGACTTACTGGAACAACTTGCAGCCATCCTTGCTAGCTTCCCTGTTGACTTTGTTATGGTGGTCTCAAATGGTGAACATGTGACTGTGGGTCCATGTAACATAATCATGATTCAGACACACAAAAACCTGGATCGCAGCCACCTGACTGAGGGTGCTCAATAACTGGAACTTTGAAACCAGTCATACATCCATTTCTTCAGCAGCACTGTAAGTCTGAACAATCACTGAATGAATGAACAGCCGCAATCTGAGGACTGCCTGTAATATCCATGTAATTTTCTTCACTTAACAGATACAGGTATGATTTAAACCAAGGCCAATTTGCCTTCTCATTCCAAGTGGCATTTAAAGCCTCAGGAACAACCACATGGTTCCAATAGGGGCCATTAAGTAATTAGG